TATGTTGTGAAGTATGTGAAATTAACCACATCGTTGTTCGCTTCTTCCAATGCACGGCTTCAATACAGCTTTAGCCCTGCGTTTTCTCCGGAAACTGAACACACTCGTAGTACATGCTACTTGAAAGTCTGAATTTGAAGTTTGAGTGGTCTCTTCACAACTTGCACATTACGATTCGTTAGCTGCTCGAATCACTCTGTCCCTGACTGAGTAAATAAATGAACTTGCGTCGAAGTCAAGTGGAGCAACGCCGCGTTTGAGTACGTTTCAGTCAGTCACTTACTACTTTGATCTAAGCTCAAAGCTAAACTACATGACCAAGTATTTCTGGTGGAGATTTAAGGCCAATCTTATGACATCTTCAGGACGAAAGGCTTCCTGAATCATGTACATGCAATGGCAGTGGCATATAAATTGGATCATATGCATTAGACAGAAATGAAGAGGCAGCAAAGGATCATTCACATGCAAACAACGTAGCACTTTCACAGTGGACCAGATATCAATGAATTTTTCAGACCTCTTCGACCGAAGGGATGCGGCAGTGTGTTGGTGCGGCTCGTTCAGACAGTCATGTGCTTTTTTCTGCTGGGACGTCAGTTGCTGTCCTCGTTGTCAGTTGTCTTCTCTCAATGCTTCGTCAGCATGGCCATTTGTTGCTGTCACTCGACGCTCTTTTAATCTCTTGACCTCCTAATTTATCGCCTCCGCATTTCCATTGCACTCGAGCTGTCGATGACAGCTCGGCAAAGGAAGTTTCTTGAGGTTACCTAGTCATTCCATACAATTCAATGAGCTAGTTACAGGGGACATACAGTATTATTTAAGTAACATTGGGAAGCCATTCAGTTAAAGCGAGTTTTAAATTCAAAAACAGCAGATGACAGGGCCGTACCATGCATTGAAATGTCTACGAAGGAGCTGGTGGCCTTCTTTCATTCTCGAAGTTCAGCTTCTATCTACTAGTTTTTGGCAAAAAGAAACGAAGTCTTAAATCATGAAACGGGGCACCAACAAGCTGATGTTAAATAAAACCTCTAAACGGCTGAATGTTCAGCACCAGACCTTCCCACAAAACACAAGCGGTTTCATAAGGTTACGGCGAGAGACGAAACAAGAGAACAGCGCTTTCTTCTACGCTAATTCTTCTAGTCAATATAAGCCGTATGGACTCGTTGGCTATGGCACTTTCATGAGAACAGATTGCTGCCGAACACGCAAGATTCGCACAGTTGCCACCGTTGCACACAATGTCGAGAAGCCATTAACATAAAACAGATTCAGATTCTGAAAAAAGTCCATCCGCCGATTTATTTCCTGCCGTTTTTTATGAACTTCAAGGGTAAAGAGTTAGTAGAATGGATCACAGTCCTAGTTGTCAAATCGGCGGGCCATCTCAGCCAGTCTTTGTTAGACAATCAGAATTGTCCATTGGTAATTCAAAATTTTAGAAACTAATTTCCAACGTTCTTGCATGTGGAATAATGGCACAGCGCCACTAGAGCTTTAGTCGAAATAGAAGTTACGTCGTTTCGGTCGAGAGTCCAACAGATAAAGGAGAGCATTTTTGAAAACTTATACTGGAAGGCATGGGACGTTGATTCATATGCAATGTGTAGTCTAAAACTTGCAGATATATTTTCGAACTCTCTCTAGTGTCCAGCAATAATGAATGATGCATGTGTAGGAATCAGTGAACTTGGTGAATGGTGAAAAAAGCAGGAGGAGAAGGAGTGGAAGGCAAACAGAAAGAAGAAGAGAAACAAGTGTATTCGCCATGGTAGCACAGTACACTCGGCATTACACAACAGTTTCGTGGCAGGCGATAAGAAAGCAACAGAATAAGCATATTCATCGTAAACTGGTTGTGATCGTCAATACAATTTGGTGGAAAACCAACTGACCCTTACCATGTTCCGTATGCCTTGAAAGGGTTGTTGGAGCCATTGTTCGCAGGGTTGAGCTTTTCCAAAATTCATGGCTGTCACTGGCCACTGCTGATGCGATTCTATAGGCAATTGCGCCGTCCAACTCTCTGGATAGACGAGATAAGCAAATTAAGTATATTATCCCTTTCTGGCGGTTCTTACGTGTCTGTTGATGGACTACTCTGCATGACCTGGAGGACAGCTCGAACACTAGGCGATTTATTTGAATAAATTCTCTTCATGGTGATAAGGAAGAATCCTCCAGAGCAAATGGTCTGGAAGTCGAAGCGAATAAGTTTATTAATGCTAAAGTTTCGAACACCTCACAGGATACATAAGCGAGGCCTGATGAGGAACATATCTCGAGTTCGAAACGGTGGCATAGATAACTCGATTCGCCTCAACTTTGTACATTCGTCTACTGAGCTTGAAAACATCATGTCTTGGAAGATTGTTTTTTTTCATATTGGCATTGCGTTAAAAGTAAATTACAGAACGTATGATAACAAGGTTATCGTAATCTATGTCAGCTTCTGCATATATCCTGAAATAGCTAGACAAATTAGTTTCCATCTTAGAAAAAGCTTTATCGTGACTGTTCAATCCTTTTGGAGATGCTACAGATACCAAAGTTTGTGGTTAACCCCAAATTTTATATTTTAAAAATTAGGTTTCTTCAGTGCTACCAATGTTCGCTAGGATTTCCGTACTTTCAATGTCGCTAGTTACTCCTGAGCATGTCAACATTCGGTTTCAGGTATTTAGTAGTTTCATTGCCTACAATTATAATAACACCGAGTACTTTTGGTGGTATAACTTTTCGGTACAAGTAATTTTGTGTAGTTGCCATCTAAATCTAAAAGAAGCTCAAGTAATAAGTTTCCATTTCATTAAGTAACGGAAAGACTGATTCCTTGGGACGTTCGTGGCCATACTGAGACATCGCATTAGCAAGGTTTATTTCACCATAAGGGATGACCCATTGGGCTATAAAGCACTATCCAACTTTTCCGACGGTATATTATGAACTTTCTTCAAGGTAAAGGTGGTATCTGGTAGTTCAGATTCTTCTTTGGGCTGAAATGCATTGAACTATGAGGCCTATTTTCGATGATGTAGTTGAAATTGAAACACGGTGCTTCCACATGTTGCAATCCACAGTTACCAATTGGAGAGATAATTTGCACATACAATTTCATAGCCTGCTGGTCCAATGAAAACCAAGATTTAATAGAGATGCATAAAGACTGCTGATTCTGTCATTTTAAACAGGAATAACAAGAAAAGATGGGAAGAGAATTGAATGGATGAAAACACAAACAGAAATCTGCGATGGCGAAAAAGTTAAAGTGGCAATGGACAAGACACGCTACATAAGAACCAATCAACTAGCTGACTATGTACAAGCGAGAAGTTTCACTGAGGTTCAAGAGAGAGTAGATAGAAGTTCGCGGAAAGACCTCCAAATTGATGGCAGGATGAGCTGAAGCTTCAGGATGAACTGAAGAAGTTCGCTGAATGAAGATGAAAAATAACATAAGTTTATGATAAAGTTTAGAAGAGGCCTTCCTCCAGCGGTGGATCGACAAAGGCTGGTGATAATGATATAAAACTCGCACATTGAGTGATACGGCCATGGAGTGCTACCGTACACGACATCCTCAATGATCATATCAGTATGGCTTAATTGCAACGATTCAGGTCGTCTATACTTGCTATACGGCTCTCCAGTGATGGTGAAATTTCATCGCTTGAAGCTTGTTCAAGGAAACTAGCCGTAAATTAGAAAAGTGTAATCTTGTCCAAACTGTACAGTATTTAATTTAGCAACAAATTCTGCTAAGCTCTAAACGCTGAATATCGAAGAGGCACATGTTTGAGCACTGCTCAACTGACAGTACATTTGATACTTAGGATCTGTATTAAATGCTGAGACGGTGTGACAGCACATTTCACAGAAGTGCAATGAACGTCGGTATCTGGCAGCCATAAGCGTTTTCGTAATTGCCAACAAACTGAAGCATTTCGAACTTTATTCTTCTTTCTCTGTGATTAGTCGTCTTGTATTTCAACCATAAGGTACACATGAAATGCCTCGAAGAATAAATAAATATTAACAAAAGTTGAAGACCTTCCCATGTACAAAACTAGCATTTGCCGTAAACAGGACCTCGCATTTGTTTTTCAACAAATTCGCAAATATATTCGTACATATAACATAACAGAAGTTAAAACTAAATACGCTGCAGTGAACGACAGTCGTGTCCAACAAGAACAAATATATGTCGTCACATTAACTAAGGGTCAATGTCGCAGAACAAGTTATCGAGCCGGAACTACTGGTAAGCTGACAGGAGTACTGTCCAACGTGTGCGCTGGACACCGATCGTATTTCCAACTTGCTCTTACCATCGGCAGTGGTAATCTGAAAAAAGTCAGATAACAAATAGACGCTGCATCACAGCCACAAGAGCGTGACAGACACCGCTGCTCAGCACTAAGCTACCTTCGTATCATTCGTCGACGTAATTGTCTGGCCGTTGAACAACCAACTGCACGTCGGTAAAGGAGTTCCAGAGAACTCTGTCGTGAAAACCGCAGTGGTGCCTGGTTTCGTCCTTACGTTCTGGATGAACTTCGTAAACGTAGGAATATTCGAATTGATGCTTCCGTGTTTTTGCACTAAACCGAGCGATCAGTCATCATTGTCTCACAAGCGAAACACGGTGCCCAGTTTCATACCGATGATGTTGGAAACGGATGCTGCTTTGCCACCTATGTTCGACGCCTCGATCTTGTAGTCAGCCGCGTGCATCAACGAACACTTCTTGATCGTCAACGTGCACAGCTCCCCCTGTTTGGTGATCTGGAACGTGTCGTCGTTATGGACCTCGTCCTTGTTCTTGAACCATCGGATTATGGGTTCTGAAAACAAGTTCGATGAAAGCTGACGGAGCAAAATCATGTTAATCGCATGCTCCAAATAATATTTCCAAAAATTAGATACTTCTGAACAGAACTTACTGCACTGCAGTTTAAATTCTCCTGCTATGAGTTCGAAAGTAATTTACCATCGCCCAAAAAGACTATACTATAACTCGCAAGATTTCTGTTGAACAGTTGGCTGTTCGCTTGGAAGCAGTGACCTACCGATGCTTGCCTAAAAGACCTATGCAAGGTGCTGCTGCTAATGATCCGTCTTGCTGCAGCCATTGTACCGTAGAGCCGTGGCTTGCTTAAACGAGAGTAGAGATTTCGAGCAGCAAGGGTACTCTGCGTAGAGTCTATTTTGCCAGAAGCAGGGACTAACATGGATTTGTTATATCTATGATCCAGCTTCCTGGCTATATTCAAGAGCAACAACTTTCTAGTACAGTTTTAGCAGTCTTTCTGTGGGTTTCAGGGAATTCAAGCATGTTCTCATTGATTTCAAAATAAGGTCATACGCAGGCATGAACAGTGGTGTTGTTCGCATAGTCTTAAAGTGAAATACCTGCCTTAAATCGATTGCCATATTTTAGCAATTTTCATACTATTCTGTATATAAACGCTATTATTATCAACAGTTTAAGGTGCATATATTATTAATCTTTCTACCTGGATGTCCGGTAACCTTCGCTGATAATGTAGCCGTTTCGTTCTCTTTCACGATTATGGCCATGAGGGGTTCTGTGATTTCTGCGGCGACAATGTTACGTTCTGTCTCTGAAGCACCAGCCGAAGCCTTTGACACTATAGACAATGCTGTGTATTTTCCATGTCAACACTCTCTACTGGACACTTACGGGCTACTTGCAGGATGCAACGACACCGAGCCTCGCCAAAATTGTTTCTCGCAACGCATTCGTATGCTCCAGAATCCTGAGGGAACGCCTCAACGAGCAGCAAGGAATAAGTATTCTGCTCGATAATGGTCTTGCATCGATAGTCAGGTATAAGCTGCCGGTTGTCCTAAAGTTTGGAAGTTAGCAATTGGTCTTTTTACCCAACTGCTGCAAAGACGCTCGGTAATTGGCTTACTATTACATAGTATGAGAAAAAATCAAAGAATACATTACAAGAAGTCACAGGAACCGTTTTCTGGCTGTACAAAGACACAGAAGTCTCACTGTGGTCCATCTTAGTATGTAGTAAAACACCGAATGTCACCATTCATAATACCAGATATAGTGTATCTTGTACTTTAAAGAACAACTCTTAATCTGATGAACGTAAAGGCAGAGGACCGCCTCTTAAACACAAATTCATTTGTGATACTCAGGCCAAACAGCCCCTATGAGGGATCTGCAACATGGAAAATTGACCTTATGACTAACATATTACAGTGAGGTTAATCTGCTTATAAGCTCTTCGCAAATTACATTAAGAAGGTGTTGCATAACCTTCATAATTTTCAATAACAAATAGCTGTTTCATAGTTAAGAGAGGAATACTGCGTAAAAGTTCGCAAAACATTAGTTGATTATGCAAGTTAATTACATCAATTAATATCAATTAATGAGTATTATAACAGATACAATGTATTCATATGCGGCATAAATACAACATATGACAACTAGACCAAGATAATTGTTTGTCGACGCTACTCTGCATAAAGTCTGGTCATTCGAGTTAGCTAGTGGTCTATCGGCAAAATAGGACCAAAAATCGAAGCCTGTTTCTTTGTATTCAAGTGCTACGCGCACAGCATGAAACTTTCTATTAAAAATTTTATGAGCTCTTTCAAGGCATAATAATTGGTAATATACTGTGCATTGTTGATCAAATATTAACATACAATATTGAATATGATACGTTAGATAATTAGCTATCAGCTGCACTGACACTGCTCATTAATAACAAAACTAATAAAGTATCCTACTTTAAACCAGGTGACGGTGGGTAACGGCGATCCAACAATTTTGGCGACGAATTTGGCTGGTCGACCTTGGACGATTCTAATGCTTTCAATGGGCTCCAAAAATCGTGGAGCATCGCCTTTTTCAGGTCGCTCCGCGGCAATTATGTTCGTTACAGACTCGGCGACGCCTGCAACATTTTCAATGCGAATCGTATAGTTTCCGGTATATTCCTTTTTCAGTTTGGCGATTCTCAGTTTCGAACTGGTATCGGTGTTTGTGATCTAAACGAGCGCAGTGAAAAGAAGCTGCTTAGTTACTGTAAACTTTAAAAAACATTATCAAAATATTAATCAGTCAGGCTATCAACCATTATATATTCGAATCATTAAATGACTGATTTATTGCAGGCTAAAATTTTTTAAACGAAAAAATCCATTTCGCTGATTACATTGAAGATCTTCATAAGTTCATGACGATTCAATGCCGTAACATTAACGCTAAGAGTACGAAAGGCTGTTAGATATTTCTAAGATACAGTGATATGAGTAAAGACACTTTAATAACGCACTGACATCTAGCACAACACGTACATTTTTCCTATAATCGAAGTAAATACCTTTCTCTCTTAGCGGTGCTGAGATAGTTCAGTAAGCATGGACAATTATTCACGAAACACTGAGGTACTTTGCCAACATCTTCGCTATATGCAGCACAGGCAATTAAGTATCAGGGATTGTCATATCACCTCCTCCTCCTCCCCTGCCTCAGTACAATTTACAAATGAATACCATTAAGCTTGACGCAGAAACCTGCATGCATCAGTCAGACACAGGAAGCTAACGAAAGTTATTGAATGAACCATTATCGCCTAACGGTGCTCAATGATGCAGAATTCTTGTATTGTATTTATCACTTATTGTTGTGCTTTGCTGTATTTGCTGAAACGATCATTTTGCTTTCAAAAGCAGAGCATCACTGCTTTGTGATATCCCTGTATCCGTGGCCTTTCAACACTTATGTCATGACGCAAAGGTCACTGCGTCGTACAAAAAAATGTTCTGCTAGGAAAGCAGATCTACCCGTACCTCATTCCTCCAATTGGCATCCTGGCCTCTTGGTAGACATGACATCTGCAGTGCTTCGGCTCCAACGCCATAAGCTCACAGATTGGAGTAGATGGTTTTTGCTCAATTAGTTTGCTCAACAGGCTAACCTCCTCTTCGTAATCTCCACTGAGGTCCTCTGTGCCGGAAAAGAGAACATTGTCATTCCTCATATGTCGTGCCATTTAACCCTCATCAAGCGTCAAAGCCAACGCTGCGGTACGCAGTTCAACCGTTGTTCATGTTACTTCGCTAGAACCACTGTCTTCCTCTAGTACAAAAACACTGCTGACCTTATAGAGGTAACGCATAGGCGGAATTTTGCGGAAAGGGATCATTCTTTTTCAGCCCAAATATTGACGGATTTCTGAAAATACTAGAGGCGTGGGCGATCTCCAATTTAACTCTGGATGAATGGTGCGATCACTCGTGATGATGCAACCAATATAATTAAATTGGTCAACTTCATGTAGCGCTTCACCTCTGAGGCAAGAAACATGCGATTTTTTAAGCGGATGAATGTTTGCAAGAGCAGCTGTCAAAATGAACTATTCAGAACCGCAATTATTACTGCGTTATGCGTTATTATTTAAATGGTAAATTTATATATTGTATATTGACCGTGCTTTCTTAGACGAGTCGCTGGCCTTACGCGTCTCGACATGGTCCGGAATAGTGACATCCGGAACAGCCT